ATGCTCTCGTCACATCCTCAGAGACTGCATTTAAAGTGGCGTCGAATCCTGACCGAATCAGCGCAATTTTATTTCTTAGCCAATTTATCATATTGATTTTCTTGTACCCAGACAAAATCATACTACATCTCATTAGCTCCATTTACCATTCCTATGGTTATACAGGCCAACAAAAAAAATCTTGGTCTCTTGGTTTTTAGGCTTGTTCCTGGAGTTATTTGGAGAGCTAATTCAGAAAATTACACTGGATAGACAGCATCAGCTTTAGTTTCTTAGATATGGTTATCATGATTTTCTATGGGCAAGCAAATGAAGACTGGTAGATGGCATTAGTTCTATAACCATTTTTGGAATCAGCAAGTATACCCAGAAACTGATCTAATGTTTGAGGTACCAAAATGTGTGTTGGCCTGTGTTATCTACTCAGTTTGGCTTTTGCCTGTAATTATCATAATTAAAACTGAAGTTGTTACCTCATTACCATACCCACAGATTTTGCATTTCTATTGCTATTCACACATACAGCCTACTCATAATGGCCTATTCCTAGACACTTCTCCCGGATGCATCTGATAAAGTAGACTTATGCTACCAACTTCTTTCTCTCAGTTTCAAAGGGACTATACGATCCCTTTGCGTACTGATGTAGATGAACATGGCCATGCCTTGAAATTCTGCACATACAATAAATAAAGCATTTCAGTTTTGAAAACACACACACATATACATAGAAAGATGATGGAAAATGTGTGTCACTGACAATCTAAAAAAACCTGTATAAGTCAATTAGGCTGTCATTTTGTTTAGTCTCCTATTCAGGCATGTCTGGTGGGAATAGCAAAGGGGTGTGTGGCTCCTTCCAGGATCAGGAACTCATTTCCTGGAGAAGCTAGACTATCTCCCTCCATGATGTTTGTCTGGTAGAAGGCAAAAACTCTGTTTCATTCGGGAGGTGTTCGTAGAGGAATCATATTGTTATTGTTGTTGCGTCTTCAAATAGTTTCCAATTTATGGTGAGGCCCTAAGGCAAATTTATCACAGGGTTTTCTTGGCAAGATTTGTTTGGGGATGGGTTTCCATGGACCTCCTTTGACTCAGAGAAGTATGGCTCATCCAAGGTCACCCAGTGAGCGGCTGTAAGTTTTTTTGGGCTGTATGGCAATGTTCCTGAAGCATTCTCTCTTGACGTTTAGCCCACATCTATGGCAAGCTTTCTCAAGAGGTTGTGAGCTTCCATTGCTGGGTGGAAATCTGAATCTTGATCTCTTGCTTTTTGATATATTTGTGTTTTTTTAAAAAAAACTCTCATAATTTTAATTATATTTTATATTGTTACTTCTCTGCTTTTCTGTTAATTTTTCTAAGTTGTCTTGAGTCAACTGGGGAAAGAAAATAAATATATAAATAGAGAAAGTATTTTTTTGTTTTTCTTCCACAAATTTGCAAAACCACAGTAGTTTTCAAAATAACTTGTATGCTAAACACAGCTTTGAAAAATAATGAAAAATGGTTCAGGCTAGTGCTTTCCTTTTCTGCCTCCTCTATCTCCACAGGAAATGGGAACGGACTAACACACCCATCAGTCTAAATTAAGCTCGCTACTGTTTACTAAGTAGAGCACTAATTGACATGTGAAAACTCTGAGATTTTCCTCGGGCATTTTAAAGTGTTATTTATTGACTCAATTATGTTCACAGTATGACAATTGCTTTTTCTTTCTTCCTCACAGCACAGCTGTCTTAAGGAGTACTGTTTGACAGAAAGGCTAGGGCAGGAAAGGAGGAAAATTTACAAAATGAGGAAGAAAGAAAGGGTAGCTATAATCCAGCATTTCCATCCTGTTTGTTTAATGGCTAAATAAAATACTAAAATATTATTTTCAAATAAAATTGTTATATTTGCTTGCCTATACATTTTATATTTATTTGAAGAATGTACAGACTCATCTTCATTAAAAATTCTGAATGTTCTTTCTGTATTTAAACATTAGGGATTTACATTACAATTGAACACAATATTAAATCTTACAAAATACAGGGAATAATAGTTATTTACCAGCTGAAAAACACAATAATTTCAAATGTATTAAAGGATAATTGTAATCTGGCACTGAGAAAAATGAAGTGCACATATAAATGCAGCTGCAAAGTGGCATCTGGACAACACTTTAAAATATCTCAAGTGCTCATAATTCAAGAAAACTATCATGAGCTACCCAATAACATTCTCACATAATTTTCTCTAATGTCTTGAATCATTTTACCATTAAATCTTTCACTTATTAAATCTCATATTCATATTCTAAAAGGATTTTTAAAAGAATCATGACAGAAGACATTAGCTGTCATTAATAGCAAGTTTATTGGATTTCTAAGCTTGATCTATAAAGGAGAGCAAATGAGTTTAATCTAAGAGTACTCAAACAAAAGCAGATTCAACCCATTTATCTGGGTCATAAGTTCACTAAGGTTGTATCACCAAGTTGTAGTCAATTAAATCCTTATATTCATACAGCCTATGTCTCTTCCTTAAACTGTCTTTATTTGAAATCAAACTGCAGGCTATTGTTTTTTATGACCGCTGTCACTGATATCAGTGAGCTCACCTGCACAGTATTCCCAGCATTATTAGCCATTAAGACCCCAATGCCAACCCCAAGACCACCCCAGCAAGCTCATGGCAGCAGGGTGGGCGGTACACCAACAGAATCCTTATTATGTCCTGGTCACCCACCTTTAGCTAAACACACTTGAACACTATTGATTGTGGGATGAGAAGCCTTGTCAGGGGAATGGAATCATGATAGACCACTGCAACACCACCTCCTCCCCACTCCCAGGCCTCGGCTGCTGCTGCACAGAGAATCCTGGTGGGCAGAACTAAGAGAGATGAACTCCCCCCGTCTCATCCAGCCATGTCTCTGTGATACAGACCAGGTCAGCATGTTCATCCAGAATTAAGTCCTATGTGGCATTTGCTTTTCTATTTACTGACCTGGCATTCAACAGCAGCATTTTCAGCCTAGATGGGCTGACACTCTGGTTCGCTTGCTTGTTCACTTGCTTCTGTTTACAGAGTATTTGTGTGATACTAAAATATGCATTTGAATGTATAGTTTAGCTCACTAAAATCTCTATAGACTTATAAATGTAAGGAAGCAATTAAAAAAAGAAAAAAAAACCAACAAATATTAGAGAGGCGGGGTGAGGGCTTCAATAGTCCATAGGTAAAGGTTTCCCCCTGACATTAAGTACAGTAAATACTCCACAACAACATAATAATGATATGTAGAAAAAAATAAAACTATAGTTTTCAGGTCAACAGCTTCACATGGGGTGAGCACAGTGATGCTCATAAAGCTCCCAGGGTTATTTTTGCAGTCTCCAAGGTTCCCCCCGCTATCACACCCAAACAATTTGGAGAGCCAAAAATGTTTTCTAATGTCAACATTTCAAAAAGTCTATGGGGTGCTACTGAAGAATTTGGGAGCCCTCCTCATGTTGGGAAGATTGTAGATGTCTTCTTTTCAGCTATACACCGCTGCCACATCCAAACTCGGTGAGTGACCAGAGTCTCTCCTATTTACCTGCCCTCTCTTTAAGACTAGCTCAAATTTCTGAATTGGCTGTCAAGATCTAGATTTGCTCACAAAAATACATGAGCTTGGCCCAGAGTAGCTTTGTACAGAACTTTCTTCTTAATAAAACATTTATTTCTTTTAATTACTATTACATTTATATTTCTCCTTTCTTCCCAAGGAATTAAGAACTTAAGCAGCATATTATTTTTCGCCCTTCAGTTTTAGGCTCAAAACAGTCCTGTGAGGTTGGCTAGATTACCAAATGAGGTACAAAGTCCCTTCTTCACAATTCAAAGGATGAATTATGAATTTAAAGAAAAGGATTAAGCTCTGAATACTGGAGCAGTTCACCAAGAATAGGAGGGAGAAGAATGGGGATGTGGGGAGGCCATCTGAACTAAGTTGTGTCTGCCTCAATTCTGCTCACAGACATTGAAATGCTTTCCAGACATTTGCTTCATCTCCATCAGCATGAAATTTCAAATAAATGAAGTTCAGAGTGAAGCACTTAAGGCTATGAATCTAAATATATACATCATAAGGGCTCTTTTTTTACATGGAGCTGCCTTCCACAATCATCAGAAATTGCTGGACAAAAGTTGAAGAGAACAGTCATAAATGGAGATTCATGAAGCGTAACAGACAAGAAGTCAAAAAACTTCAAATATATATTTTAAAATTATAAAGTTAAAACACTTACCTTTTTGACCCCTTGATTTAAAAAGGTCTGTGCAAAAACTTCCAAGAAGCAATTCAGCAGCCCTGCTCCTTTTATTGATATTCTCCCTTTCTGTATAAATTCAGTCCTGCAAAACAAAATGCAGCTGACCTTTTTCTTTTCCTTTTATTGTCAAACAATGCACTGCCCACCCTCGAGATTTATAGTCCACCAATTACACCAAGATCAAATTAGATGAAATAATTTATTTTCTCTTTTCCATGAGGTCTCCAAGACCACCACAACAGATGAGCAGCAACAATCCTTTCCCAAAGGCTCATTTCTCTATTTACATGTATCCTTAAGATATATATATATATACATACATACATACACACACAGAGAGAGACACACACACACATATATATGGATTGACCTTGAAGGAGCTAGAGGTGGTGACAGCCAACAGGGAGCTCTGGTGTGGACTGGTCCATGAGGTCACGAAGAGTCGGAAATGACGGAAATGACTCCAGGAAGTGCTGCAGGCCTTGACCGAGACCACATTGCACCTGCAGGATGTGGTGCACATAGTCGAGAAGAAGCTAGCCACTCGAGAGGCCCAGTGACACACACCCCACACATGGAGCAGGACACGACTCATTGTGTAATCGATGCACATTAAACCTCAGATTGTCACGCAAAAAAAAGGATTTCTGGGAAAACATCTGGGAACCCACAAATTGAGAACTATGGTTCTAGACTCAAACATTGGTTATAGAACCATCACCCTTTGGCCCTTGACAAAGTGCCTTTGTTTTCTGAAGCTCCTGTCTTTGTTTGGAATGGAACTGGACCTTTGAGCTCATCAAAAGCCATCAACGTATTTTCCCAGACTGTACCCTCCCAGGGGAGCAGCTCTGTAGTGGAACAGTCCTTCATTCTTGATCAATTCCCAGATGCCCTTCTCTCTTGCCTACCAATCCTGGAGTGGATACCAGTTAGCCTCTTTTCTGGACAATCAGGGGAGGGGGAGGGAAATATGAATAACTATAAGAAGTATATAAAATATCCTGTATTTCTCTGTATGTTTATGCTCATACTTTAGGGCACAAGCCCACTTGCATCTATTCTTGGCCAGAACATAATTAAAGCCTACCTCTGTCTTCAACACTGGTGTGTCCTTTAATCCGGAACTTTGATTATTAGCATAAGTTAGTTGTTCCCAGCCTTTGGTCCTCCAGTTGTTTTTGACTTCAACTCCCAGAAATCCCAGCCTTTTGGGGGGGGGGGTGTTCTCTTATCGCCCGTCTTGCCTGGTCCAAGGGGGCCAGGGCTATGTCTCCAACAGATTTGGCTAAGAGTACTCACAGAACTCAATTGTGGTTCATCAGCTTAGTCTCATTAGGGGAGACATAGCAGCTGGATCCCTGGACCAAAGGAACAATGCTAACTAACCGAAGACAGCCAGGCAGACATCCTTTAACCTAGAAAAGGGGGCCAGTGAGGAAACAGGGTGCAGGTTGTCCAAGGGACTGCCAGTACCACAAGTGTCACTATTAGGGCAGATTCTCAAAGCAAGAAGAATGCAATAAAACTATGAGAAGGCCCATAGTCTGTAATCATAATGTGCAAAATTCTTACTACTGGTTATTTCACCTCTTAATATGTAGCTCTATTTATGGTATCATATACAATAATTTTAAAATTATAAATATATACCTAACTATATTTAATGAAATATATCAAAATGACCCCCCTGGGCGCATTTTAAAATTTCCTTTGGATAGGATATAAAATGGCTGAAGTATTATTTCTGGCGAAACCTTTTGCTTATGGATAAATGTGTGGTAGGAAAGGGAAAAACATGTGAATTTGGCAAGGCATGCTTTTACAGACTTCTTTCTGGAGGGGAGAAAATGACAAACCCCCTCTGAACAAATCTTGCCAAGAAAATTCTGTGATAGGTTCATGTTAGGGTTGCCATAAGTGAGCAGGGTTTTGAAGGGACACAACAAATAAAAAATATATGTGGGGAGGGGTGGAATCAGAATGATAACTATCCGTAATGTATAACTTTTTAAAAGTACCTTATCAGGTATGTAAGACATGTGCCTCATGAAGCAACATTTTCATTTCAGATATGAAAGTTTCCTCAGTAATCCCCAACCAATATTCTTCACCAGTTTCTTATTAAATGCCACATTTTTCACTTATTCATATGTTGAATAGTGTTGCATTTGAGAGAGAAAAGGCATGATTTGACACTTCTGCCTATAAAGTCTGACCTGTGACATCTATTACAGCTATAAATTGACCTCTTCATGTTGAATTGGTCACCGACACTAAAAAGGAATCTTTGAACTCGACCACAGTAGAATGGTGAAAAGTACTTTCATGACTGTATGTTCTTTCTGCAGAAATAGGGCTGGACATTTCCAATATAACAAGTGACCCTTACTCTTTATTGGAAAACCCCATCTCTACCCTCTTATTTCTAAACTGACAAGATAACAACTGTCTGACAATGAAAAAAGAGCAGGTTTGCGACAAATTCAGAAAGTGTAAATTGAAACTATCCACACTGAAAAGAAGAATAGCTGAGTTATTATGTTAACCCTGGGAAACAGTTGCTATTTAAATTCCTTTATATCATTGAATGGAGCCCCCAGTGGCGCAGTGGGTTAAACCCCTGTGCCGGCAGGACTGAAGACCGACAGGTCGCAGGTTCGAATCCGGGGAGAGGTGGATGAGCTCCCTCTATCAGCTCCAGCTCCCAATTGCGGGGACATGAGAGAAGCCTCCCACAAGGATGATAAGAAAAACATCAAATCATCCGGGCGTCCCCTGGGCAACGTCCTTGCAGACGGCCAATTCTCTCACACCAGAAATGACTTGCAGATTCTCAAGTCGCTCCTGACACGACCAAATATCATTGAATCCACAAAGAAATAAGAAAATGAATGCAAAGACTACACAGCAATGCACACATACATAGGAAGAAGCCAAACTGAACTTAGGCAAGTTATCTGTCGACACTGCAACCCCATACATTTCATAGGGTTTTCTTAGGCAAGGAATACTCAGAGATCTTTTTGACAGTTCCTAACTGAAATATAGCCTTCAGCACCTGGTATTTGTTGGCAGTCTCTCATTCAAGTGCTAATCATGGTTGACCCTGCCTAGCCTTCAAGATCTGTCGGAATCTGTGCCTTTAAGCCCTCTTAGCTCTGAATAAATTTGCAAATGTGTGTTTCACATTACAGAATTTAAAACCCAACTGTTTTAAACTTGCAAGGCTGAGAGAACTTTGGTTCTTGGTGAAGCAACAAGGTATTTTAGATTTACATATATTTCCACAAATACAAAAGCAAACTAGTGATGGAAATATGTGAGAATTACATTCAAATTCAAACTAGATTCAGATATAAATTTATGCACAGCCACAAATCTACAATGGGGAATGTGGAAGGGTGGGCCCTGTAGGACCTAGCTACCAGCAGAACATCCCAGAAATAGTGAGTAAAATCTCTCCAAAGGGTATGAAAGAATCGTTTTACAGTTAACGTAAGTTTAGTCTACATAATTTCTTTCTGTTTTGTACTCCAGGAGACAAGGACATGGGATCGCCTGTTGAAAACACCAGAATCCCTATCACACCAGAATCCTTATCACCTTCAGATTAGATAAAATTAATGTAGGGAAAATGAATCTTCTCTTGGCTGCCTGTCTTTAGCTATTCCCACAATTTCTAGCTAATAGGACTAAATCTGCATTTTAAGTAGCTCTTACCAACTTACTTTCTGGGTCAATGTCCACACTTCAGTCAAAATCTAGAGCAGGAACATACAACTAGTAGATGGGGTAGTGGCAATTTTCACCTTTGCTCCCCCAACCCCTTTGCAAGCAACACACAGCATCCCAAGTGCATCAGAAATTATGTGAAGTCACTTCTTATCACTATTTCACTGCATTTTTCAGGAGATTGTGCTTGTTTTTCTATATCTTGGAATTCCAAAGTGAGGGTTATCTATGCTATCGTACCACCTGTTTACATTGTTAAAGCTGGACACTGAAGAAAGAAAATAAAATCAACTAATTTAAAATGTGAAGCTAAAAAAGAGCGGGGACTGCTAAAAAAAAATGGGTCCCAGAGCAAATCAAGCTCTCCCTAGAAGTCAAGATGACCAAACTGAGACTGTCATACTTTGGACATATCATGAGAAGATAGGACTCATTGAGAACAGACAACAATAATTAGTAAACACAGCAGGACAAGAGAAAGATTGCATTATAAGTGGATAGACCCGGTCAAGAAAGTGATGGCCCTAGAGGAGGCTGCCAATGTCAGAATCATTTGTAGGGGTTTCACTCATAAGGTCACCATAGGTTGACTTGATGACAGTTAGCCACTAAAACAAAGAGGGCTCTGGGAGATGAGTAAGTGAAACTGCTATACTTGTGAACCACTGAATTATTTTCAGGGAGAAAATTGAAAATCAGATTGATTTTACTTTTATATGGCAGTTCGGGTTCAGGAAGTGCCAAAGATAAGCTCAGCGTCTATATATAGCATGCAGGCCTTACTCTTCCTACCCCTGATCTAGAGCATTAAGATATTGCAGCCTAAAAAATTTGCTAGCTTTGTAGGGCCCAACTTACGATATTTGAATGCCTTCCCTGCTCTAAAACACCTGCTGCATCATAATCCAATGAAGCCCACTCTGTAATACTGGTCTTTAAAAATCTGATTAGCTTTAAATCCATGTTGGCATGATAGGTCTGCTTTAGTTGAAATCCACAGTAGTGCCCATCCATGTTGGCAACCAATTTGGTTGCAGAGTGTTGTTTAACCCAATAGATGAATCATGAGCAGAGCACCCAAGTTACTAGGTATTTTCCCCTTTTTTCCTTTAAAAAAGTAAAAATGCTAAAAGAAAATATTGATCTTGGATTGATTCTTGCAGCACAGTGCTGAGTGATGCAGTATCATTATGGCAACACGGACAGAAGGGAAGTCTATTAGTGAGATCCAACTACTGAATTATTGACCAGTTAAAAGAACAGCAAATTTGGCTTAATTGTTTTTGTGACAAGAGTTTAATTAAACCATCTTTACTATAAAATGTATTGCTGGCCATTTAGCTGAGA